TTTTTTTTTTTTTTTTTTGTCTTCAGAGAGTGGAACTCCTCTTTGTAAACAGGCTTCTGGGGGAATGATTTCTAGTTGATCTTCAAGTTAATCTTTAAGGCAGACGATGGGCTCAGGCTTAAACAATGTCCTCAGCATAGACTGGAGCCAGACTGACGGGGTTCTCTGCCCTCTACATCCCTTTCATAAATGGTCTTTCACTTTCTTACCTTATTAGAATTACTTGTATGTCTTGGATTCTGCTCCCATCTCCAGGGATCCTGATTTATTTTTCCTGGCACATGATGTGGGAATCACATGTCTAAGTATCCTAGATGATTACATAGTAGAGCCAAACTTGAGAATTATTATATAGAACTTTCACACAATACAGAACAATTGTTACTGGAGAAACCAAGAGATGCTCAGTCTTTAGCTATTGAAAAGCAGCCTTAGCAGAACATGGTGGTGCATACCTATAATCCCAGCACTTGAGAGGCTGAGGCAGCAGGGTTGCTGTGACTTAGAGGCCAAGGTGAACCACTTAGTGAGTTCAAGCAAGGGTCCTTTTCTTTTCTTTTCTCTTTCTTCTCTTCTTTCCTTTCCTTTTTTTTCCTTTCTTTGCAGCCTATAGAGTGGGATCCAGTGATACCCTGTCCCAACTCACCTGGTACTGGTGATTTGCCCACTGGTGACTTCCAAAGGTTAGTTTAGACCAGTGTCATCACCTGGGAACTTGTTAGAAATGAGCCCTTGGCCCAAATCCAAGTAATGAGAGTCCACATTCTGACAGGATCCCCCGGTGACTCACCTGTGTAGGGAAGAACCCTGGCCCAGGTAGCGCTGGATGCAGTGTCATAACTGGTGGGGACAGACATGCTGTGGGCTTCATATAAAAGCCAAGTATGGATTTTGGTGATAACTTATTTAGCTGGCACATCATGATGGCACTGGCTCCTTGGTGTTCTCCTAGAAATTTCTCTCAGATCCCTAAATTTCCTGCCTTCTGTCTTAACTTTCTATGAAAGGGTGCCTGAAAATGTGTTCGTTTATTGTAGTAGTTGGCTGGATTAGGCCCACCCATAACATCATATGTCTATTTACATATTACGTAATGTTATCATATACATATTAATATATATTATACATAATTTATAGGCATATTGATACTAGAAATAGACACTTATAGAGCACACAGGATAGATTAAAAGTAAACAATGTACCTGGGCATGGTGGCACACGCCTCCAGTTCCTGCACTCTGGGATGCTGAGGCAAAACGATTGCAAATTCAAGCCCAGTCTGGGAAACTTAATGAGACTCTCTCTCAAAATAAAAAATAAAGAAGGTTGAAAATGTAGCTTAGTGTGAAGGCCCTAGGTTCAAGTAATAATACTGAAAAGAAAAGTAAACAGTGCACTTTTCTTGAGAGGTAGTTATGTAGGAGACAGCAATGTATTCTAAAACCAGCTGAACCTTGTTTGTGAAGAATCACGTCTCTAAAGGAAGTGGCCAATATGAAAATGCAGAAGAATGATGGTGAAAGTTGGGCACTGTCACTTAGCAACAATGGCATCTCCTTGACCCTTTACTTTCTCCTTGATAAAAAGGAGATAATACCATGCCTTCAACCTCATAGAAAAGCTTTAAGGATCCAGGGATAAAATATCCAAAAGATTATGTAAACTGCAATGTGTTTCACATAGAGAAGGAGTTTTTGCTAAACAATTTGGAAAACATTGCCTAGAGAAGACTTACGTCCTCTTGAAATGTGGTGTAGGATTTATTTAGACTCTTGCATTGGAATCTGACCCAATGTGATAATTCCTATGTCTCTAAAACACAACTGTGGTAAATTTCTGTGTGTTTGTTTGTTTAGTAAAGTGAATGAAAGTGCATATCCACCTTGATAATCTTGCTTTCTTTGAAAAATGCTTTAGTATCTCACTTATTAAATTTTTTCTGTTGGCCAGGGATTTAGCTCAGCGGCTCAGTGGCCTGCCATGAGTTCAATCCTTGGTCCCCCCCCCAAAAAAAATTTCTGTTAAATATTATCTGAAAATGTAATTTTTAATTACTGTAAAAATTTTATATTCTATAACTTGTTTATTCTTCTATTGTGGGGCACATGTTAGGTTTCTAATTTTGATTCACAAATAATATTATGATGATTATGTTTCAACCTAATATTTGCACACGTGTCTTTTTTCTCTTTTGGTGTATCTTTTTAGAAATTGATTTATTAGACTAAAGGACTTAACGAGGATTTTTATATTTATTGTGAAATTTACACTGAGAAGCAGCTACAGTAATACGACTATGTTTATTTTACTGTGTCCTAATCAAAAGAAATTTTTTCTTTCTTTATCATTCAAAGGCAGAAATGATCCTTGTGAACTATAATTTACATTGCATTGTTTGATTATTAATAAGGCAATATTTTTCTACGTATGAATTGACCATAAGAATTTTTTGTAATTTCTCACTTATCCCATTCTTCAATTGCAGTATTTGTATACATTTTAGTATATTGTTCTGACCTAAAACACTATTCTCAAAGCTGAAAATTTTAAGCCACGTGGAATAAGAAGCATTGTCTACTCCTGGTCCTAGAAGAAGCTTTACTGTTTATAGAATTAGTCACTTATTCTGCCACTGACAAAGGTTTTAAAGAACAAAAGCAGTATTTTCACATATCATAATCTTTCTTATTTTAACATTGAATAATTTTAACTTCTTTCATTTTCCAAATTAAATGAATTAAAATGAGCCCCAAATCTGAAACAGACCTTGCTTAATCAAGAAATGATAGTGGATCCTATAGATCTATGCTATTAATCCAACATTCTATAATTCAAATGTGTGCACCCAGGTAATGTGTGGATTATGCTGTAGAATTTGCCAATGAATATAATCTTTTAAAATGTAGATTGAAAAATAAATATATGTGATTACTATATTAGCAATAACATCATATTACTGTGTTAGATAATCGATACAGCTTATAGAGTCTGTGTATCTAATAATTATATTAATATTGATAACACTTCTTATCCATTTTTATTACCAACAGCTAAAGCCAGACGCTGTTCATTGCAAAAGAAGGGATATATTGCTTTCGCCTTCTCCTTCTCCTCCTCCTCTTCCTCTTCTTCTCCTTCTTCCTCCTTCTCCTCCTTCTTTGACTTCTTTTTTTTTGGCGGGGGTTACTGGGGATCAAACTCAGGTCCTTGCACTTGTGAGGCAGGGAGCAGAACCACTCAGCTAAATCCCCGGCCCTTACTTTGTTTTCCTACATGGCTCTTCAGAGAAAACCATTCTCACAGCTTTTGAGTTTCAGTACAAAGGGCTCTGTAGAAGCAGCGCCCTGAGGAGTGATCAAGTGTGTGTTTTGTATGGCGGGTGTTAGATGTGCAGTCAGCAAAGTAACAAAAAATTGTCACCTGAGTTCAGGTAGAAACTTAAAGTAAAGATGTGTCATTCTTGTTGTCTGAGTGCAAAGAATTTGGCTTCTTTTTAATGTTAATCTTTTCAGTAATTATGCTGTCCTGTGTCCCAACTTTGCAGGTGTTTTTTTTTTGTTTTGTTTTGTTTTTTTTTTAAATGAAGCCGAAAACTTTGAAAATCATTGAACCCTGCCATTTGCCTCTAGTTCTTATTATAAACCTGACTAAAAGCAGCCAAAAGTACCCATGCCACAGTTTGGACATTGAGCTGTCTTAAAATTTCCATATTAATTAGTCTGTCACCCTTAACCTCAGTCTCCTGAGCAACTTTTTTTTTTTTTGCAATAGCATAACGTAGTTCCTAGTCAAACTGCCAATAGAGTCCTTGCTTCCAACTGAAAATTCGTAAATCTCGTGTTTATCCTCTGCATTTCTTTAAGTATCCTGGTCTTCCGAACACTAACCCAAATGTCCCATCAAACTTACCTTATAGCATTCTAGGGCTTCTTTAGCTGGTATCTTCAAACTTTTACAAACCCCTTCTACACACCAGTTCCAAAGGCTTCTGAACCACTTGGTCAAGTATAGTCATAGCGACAGCTCCACTGCGGGGAAACAATTTCCTTTTCTCTGAGACACAATACCCAATGTCCACAACCTAAAGGACAAGAGAACAGAAGTACTACTCGTCCATAAAGAATGAGAAACTAAGTCATTCATAGGAAAATGGATGCATAGTGAGGCCATACTCTTCTATTCTTTTTTTTTTTTTTTTTTTTTTGGCACCGAGGATTGAACTTGGGTCCTTGTGCTTGCAAGGCAGGCCACCGAACCGCTGAGCTAAATCCCTAGCCCTAAGTGAGGCCATACTCTTAAGTGAAATAAATGTCACACATGTATAAATACCGAACAGTTTCTCTGGTGTGAAAAACTGTAATTGTACATAAAATCCTAATGGTGTAATTGACAATATGAAATAGGAAGAAAAGGGCTAAAGGTGTAGGGAAAGTGGGAAGGGTAGGGGAGAGAAAATAAGGGAAAAGAAAAAATATAAGAAAATGAAAAAATGGAAACAAAGTTTTTGTAAATAGGGAAGGGAGGAGTGGGTGAAAGGAGGGCAGGGACAAGGGGAAAAAATGAGAAACAAGACCTGTCATGTAAAGGTACAAGATCCCAATGATGAATGTAGCTGTACTGTATACCTAAAATGTACCAATAAACTCAATGAGGAAAAAAATAAAGGAGAAGAGGGTTATTTTGGCTCATAGTTTCAGAAGTTGCTGTCTATGGTCAGCAGGCTCCAAGATAGAAGCAGTGTGGTAAAAGGGCCTAGCAGAGAAATGCTTTTCACTGCAAGGCAGCTAGGAAGCAGAGCCCATGAAAGGAGGAGCAGCGATGGGAGATGCACCCTTTCAGATCACGTCCACAGTGCCCTGCCTCTTCCAGACAGACTCCCACTTCCTATCAGCAAGTCAGCTGTACTGTCCCATAATCCAGCCGGCTTCCAAACACAGCAGGCTTGGGGTCATTTTAGATCCAAACCATAAAAGAAAGCTTGCCCTGAATTATTTTAATGGGATCAAAATCTTTTGGGAATTCTGTCCCATTGATTTCTGTACTGTGGGACTTTAGAGCAGCTCTAAAATAAAAGTCTGTGACTTATCACAAATTTTAAATGATAACCGAGGAGCTATAATTGTCCTATCCTCATTTAGAAATTAATAGCTAGTATCTGAGTGCTTAATATGTGCCCAGAATCTAAACCTTTTTATTTAATCCTCACAATAAGCCAATGGATTAGCTTCAACCAATTTTTTAATTTTACACCTGAAAAATGAGGCTCAGGGAGGTTAATTAAATCACTCAGATATGTTTTATAAGG